AAAAAAAAAAAAGTTTGACCTTTCTTTCCAAGTTTCTCATTAAATTGCTCACTATTTTATGACCTGCCTCAATGTGTTAATTTCTGTTTAATTTAGCTTGGAGCCAGTTACTTTCTGAACCAACAGAGAAACTCCATGTGTAGATTCACTGGACACAAGAAACATCACTTCCATTCATGAGATTTGTAGGCTTTGCTTCTCACGGCTGCTGAAAATTTTGAGAAAGCACTTTATTTTTGCTTACAGTTTACTCAGTATTTTCCCCCAGTTTTTCATTATAAAAGTTTTGATAACTCTGAAATGGGGGAAAGAGCCTTGAAATACTGTCCTCTGAGGGATGAAATGTTTATAGTGTCTTATTTCTAGATGTAGATATGATTTATTCTGTGCTAAAGTGTCTAAATTTTATTTCAGCCATATGACACCCAGCTGATAGTGGTTTAAGGGGCTCACTAAAGAGCAAAGCTGGCAAAGTCTCTTTTCAGCTGATAGCTCAGATAAGTAGTAGGAATTAGCTGTAACAGCAGCAGCTGTCAGGAGGCAACAGCACCGAAGGCAGCAGTATGGCAAGGAATGAACAGAAGGGAATAGAGATAGAGAACTGGTCTATCCTGTCACCCACAGAAGTGACAGTGTAGCAGCCATGGGTAATATAAGCATAAGCGTTAGAGTACCTTTCCTTTAACTCAAAGAGAATAAACCTGCACAAAAGATTTATGTCAAATTGTGCAAATCATTTGACACTGTCCTGCATGACATCCTTGTCTCTAAATTGGAGAGACGTGGATTTGATGAACGGACCACTTGGTGGATTTATAATAATAGAAATGATATGCTGAAAATAAGTGCCATCTTTCCATTTGCATTATAAAACACTCAAAATCTAATTTATTTTTGAGGACTATCTGCTACTTTAGTTTCTCTGAACTGGAAAATAGATCCAGATAAAGCCCGAGTTCTCAAAATGTGGAAGAAAAGCTGAAGTCAGAGTTTAGGTCTCATTTGCATTACAGATTTGTGAGTAAGTCAGCAAATGGACTGTGTAATGGATCATTCTGTTGGGAATCTAGTCTTCATTAGCTACAGTGTTGGAGCGTCATGGAAATGATTATGTAAAACTTGAACAGTTTGATTTCTACTGCAAGTGTTTGAAATAAAGTAATGGCATGGTAACTGAGCTGTTCTTGATATTAGCTATGTAGTTCTTCTGTCCGTTGTAGTGCCATACTTTGTCCTGCACTTTGCATGTGATCTTTCACTTTACTTGATGATGAGAATGACTCTTTCAGTGACATTATTACAGAATTTGCTGTGACTTCCTTATCAAGTTCAGGTTCTCCGATAGGACATTGCTGTTGGGCAGGGGGAGGGAAGGGACTCCTTCCTTTGTATTCATCTGGATAGCAGAAGAAATCCAGAGACCTCTTTACAATCCCAAACAAACAATGACGGAAATTCCCCTTATTAGTTGATCTCTATGACTAGTGACTTTACAAGACTAAACAAAACGGGTTCTCTCCTATAACCTGATGGCTTTTCCCCATTATATACTAACAAGATACTATAGTAATTAGTATCTGTTGGCAATTGTGTACAACATAATTTTATATAACACTTTTCTAAACAGACTCTTTCACAAAACGTAAAACAAATTAATCATACAAATTTGCTGTGTGTCATTTATCTTCTGTGTTACATCTGTTTATATACGTATGCCTATTTTGTTAGAGAGATTTATATAAAAGCTTTTGATGTCCACACAGACTTTTAGAATATCTAATTACATTCGCAAAAAATAGGAGGAAGGGGACTTATTGAAAATAAAATATCTGAAGTAGTGGAGGCTTATTCTTTAGGTACTAGTGGTCTCCAAGTATTTTTGGCAAGACATCCATTCTCTTTTAAATTCCAGTGCTAATGCACAAAGGCTCAGAAGCTCAGGCATGTCACTTCTCCTCTCACAGTGGTATATCCTTATGATCTGCAGTGTTACTGATCCAGGGACCTTCTGGCTATAGGCTCCTGGGAAACATGCTCACCTAAGATCAACTTTTCAAATGTTTGATTTTCCCTGACAGTTTTCCCTAAACCTTCGGTACTACATCAGAGCTAATTTCAAACTAACAGTTTCTGATTAGAGTTTGTGAGTTTGGGGTTTATTTGCTATTGTTTTGTTGTTTGTTTGTTTGGTTTTTTTTTAACAAAGACTACTAAATTATTTCTTTTGTGAAAAACCTAGACGATAGAGAAGAATAAGCCGTGTTTGGGATTTTGTAGCCTTGATCTATCTTCCTTATGCATGAGGCAAAAGAATAGCATCAGGCAGAGAGAAGTGTCCCTTGAAAGGCTCCATGATTTGAAATCTGATGCTTCCTGCAGGAAGCTTTGTCATCTCCCTGCCTGCCCACCCGTTTCCCTCTTCTCCTCACACATGGAGTCATTACCACATCCAACAGTGTTTGGCTTAGCAGTCAAGTAGTGTTGGCACACAGTTTCGTGTGGGGCCTCAGTGTGAACCTACCATCTGATTTTTGCTGCTAAGAGACCCTTGCTTTTTCTCCTCCCACCAGTGTTATCAAGGGTGGCTCAGACCAAGTTAGGACTTTGATTGGGCCACATAATCACAGCTACAGGACCTGCTTTCCTTCAGGTATAAATGGGAGAGAAAAGGGCTGGCTATGGTCCTCACATAATCACCCACTAGGAGACTCAGAAGACAAAGTGACAAATGTGGCTCCTGTGTAATGACTTGCAGGAGAAGCCTCCACAGAGGCACATTAGAAGATGGCATAACTTAGAGCAACCCTATTATTGCTGCAAGCTGTGTCTCTGGCTGAGATCCAAGCTGAGAGTCAGCAAAAGTAGATGAAAGCAACCAGCACTGTTTCCTCTATGCCTCTTGCACTAATGAACTCTATTATCTTTATGAAATTGTTTCTCACCTACAGCTTGTGAATGCAATTATAATTTGATCCTTTTAGCTCTTGCATATTCTTTAGTATACTGTTCCCAGGCCAATTCAAAATCACCACAGCATAAAAAGATTGTTCTCAACAGTGCTTTTATGCTGTTGATTTGAAATACTTTGAAAACCATTAGATTGTTCCAGGCTTACCGGGACATTTCCATAAAAATAAGATGCATGCCAAAGAATCTGAGATTCATATATTACAGGATATGGTCTCCTCACACCCTCCGCCTACTCATTTGGAAGTGTCTCATGGTTTTCCTGCATCATTTGACACATCTGTAGTCATTTAATTGTTCTAGCCTTTCAGACTGTATTGTGAAACAACTGCTTACAGGACTCATTAAAAGAAAATATAACAAAAAATTCCCATGCGTTGTACCACCTCCACAGTAACATAAGCCTTGGAAACTTGCAGGGTGTCCAAAAATTACTATTTTTTTTTTATGGGACATTTTGACCTGTGTTAGAGTAGGCAGGCAGTATGCAGCATAAGTAATTGGACAGTATTTCTATATGTCTAAACAAGTCATGAGTGGAATGGGAGTGTGTTATACATTGCTTGGGATTTTTTTAATTGTTAATTGTTTATTCCAGTTTTGGCCCTGACTCAGAAAGGTACTTAACCACTTTTTTTTTTATGTCAACCACCAACTAGAAAAGTCCTTTCTTAAGTCCTGTTGAAATAAGTGGAAACTAAACATATGTTCAGAGGTAAGCATTAGCTTGAAGTGTTTTGCTGACTGGGATATTCTCCCACACTAGTCTTTGGAAGTTGACCTGGCAAAAGATGTTATTGGAGTGCATCTGTTTATCTCAATTAGTATTGTGTCATACAGACCAAAACACATTGCCAAATGCTTGAAATTCCACCATTCCCTATTTCACTCCTTAGCAGAGAGGAGAACTCCCTGCATCTCCGGCTGAGATGCCTAGCATCTGACAGATCTCTAAATTCCCATCTGACTCAAGGTTATAGAACAAGACACTTGATATTGACACTGAACTAGGCTTCTGCAATGTAATGGATGTATCTCATTGCAAATGTTTAGAATTGGTTGCAAAAAAAAGATGTTTAACAGTTTCTGTTGAAACATGCATTATTGTAGACACAAATGTGTCTCTTAGTCTGATGGGAGCCTTTCACAAGGAATATATAAAAATGCTGCTTAGGTTTTGAGGGAAGGATCACATCTGAATCAATCCAGAACTAAATTATCCACTGACAAATCTTGATCGTGAGAATCTTTGGGATGGAATTTGGTAGTGAAGCTCAGAGTGACAGGCAGATCAGCTGCCTGAATGTAACTTACCAATAGGAAAATATAAATTAAATGTTCTTTGCCTTCTATCTTCTTTTTAGAGGGCTCGTTTAAAACACCTATTTTCTCTGAAGTGAAATGTTTTATTTTCTCTGAAAACGTGTTTTGGAAATATTAATGTTTTGGAAAGATTAGAAAAGTTTTACCACATCCATAAATGTATTTTACACTACTTTATAACAGGATGCATAACAGCATAATCTATTGTATGGTACATGAAGCAGAGCTACATGTATGGTTTTCTTAGCTTAAGAAGTAGGCCCAAGGAATGAACAAGATTCTGCAGCAATGGATATTGCTATATTTGAAACAGAGGTAAAATGTATTATGCTGCTTCTCAGAGTACCAGGTGAGTCCTTCTTTATTCTATTCTGTCCATATTTTTATGCCACATTCGTCATTACATTTGACTGCCTGGAGACTTGAATCTCTCCAGTTCAGCATTTCAGGCACACAGATATATTAGTGATGAGATGAGCTTTCATTAAAGATCAGGCTCTCAGGCTTCAAGATCACTTGCAGAGGTCTAGGAAGCTTTTCCTTGAGTGTCAGGGCTCTCAAATGCTGGTCCTGGTGCTCAGGACTAGCCTGCTCCCCAAAACAGCAGAGTCAGGTGGGGTCAGATGCCCTGAGATCTCATAAGAGCCAGAGAGGTGTCTTTCTGGTTTTTCCTTCTCCATCCCTAATCACTTTCTCCTTATTTTCACCAGGATTTCTCCCACTTCTGACTCCAAGACCGTATGCTGGATTTGGCAAACATCTCATCAGCTTTAAGTGAAACATAGTAGGTTCCACAAGTGATCATTTCCAAGGTAACTTAATTTCATCAGAAAATCACTGACTTTCTCTGGATCCAACCCTTTCCCTAATGAGTGGGAAACATGATAACCCATATCAGATTTGTTGGGACACTCATTGCCAAAGATGTTTAGCAAGTCTGCATTACCTGGGGAGAAACAAGGAAAGTTATAGTTTAGCAAACATGGGAATAATGTTTGTGATGAATATGAGCACTTGCAGGTAAGCAGAAACAGTATAGTTACTTTGGAAATCCCTTCCCAAAGGTTAGTGGTGTTTAATAACACGGGTGCCTCTCGTTGCACCTACCGTTATGCTCTATGCCTTATAAACTGTGCCTCGTTATTTCACTATTTGCATTGCAAGGCCTAATTCAGAGTTCAGACTACACTGAATTCAGACACACTATTCAGGGCAGGAATAGTGTGAACAGTACAGATTTTACTGTACTACTTGTCTTTCCAGCAGAATGGTGATGTAAGCACTCTGAGGAGCAGTTTGGTTATATTCAGAAAACAGATTTTCAACAGGTTTTCTCTCATATCGATTTGTTTTTACTGGTGTATTAGAATAGAGACAGCATTAAACAGGCTGTGTGTAACTTAAAATAAATCATGAACTTTTGTCAATTATAATAGATTTAAGAATGTCTATGTGTGTACAGGCATATGTGTGTCCATATATATACCAGTGTACAGCCAAAACAGAAATGTGTGTCTATTTGTTATATAACAGAAAAGTTTGACAAGAATATAGAAGCTAGTGGAAGGTGTGTTCTTTAATAATTGTTTTTTAGATTAAGCACCAGTTTCATGTTCTCTTCCATTAGTAATTGCATGGAATTGAGTGTATCTAAAAAAACAAAGGTTAGCAAAATCTGATGAACTAGACTGGGCATCTTTTGCAAAAAGAATCCCAGATGTAAATGCGTTACAGCAAGACATTTTCCTGGGGCCTGATACACAATGTGTTTCTATGCAGCAAATTTAACAGAGGATATGCAGTTTGCATCGTCTCTTTTTTCCTCTTAGCCAGTCTTTCCAGCTAATGGAAAGAGAATGTCATTGGCTTCATCTTTATTCCACCCTCATTCCATCAGGCCCAAACTCTGAGTTGGATAACTCCCAATAGGATCAGGACACATATGGTCAAAACATATCACATAAGTAATGCTTCTGAAGCAGCACATGCATTTGTAAAACATATTTTTATTCCTAAATGTCTTTTTGAGATCAATTCATTGCTCAGCTCACACTTCTTTGTAAATAAATATGAGTATGTTTGCATGTATATACATGTATATGTTCATATTTGTATAAGTAAACCCATTTTCTCTATCCTACTAGACCTCCGGAAGGTGGTGCTTCCAGCTCTGTGTATGTGAGCTGCAGAGACATTTACTTTTGTATATGCAGTGACAGGAAATGGGATGAACCAGCTCACATCTGTTAGCCATTAAACAGCGAAATAATAACAACAATAATAAAATATTATTTTAGCCAGGCTGACAAGAACAGACATCAGCCATAGAAAGCTGAAGGTGAGTCAAAAGAGGGCCTGCATCCAGCTGATTTCTTCAAAGGCAAAATACTATGTACTCTTTCCTGGTTTTGAGTTCTGCAAATACCGCCTTCTTGGATCATCATGACATGCCATCAGAATGAGTGGGTTTGAGGATTTCCTGTAGAAAACTATAGCAGCATTCATTCCTGCAGCAGTGTTCTGAGAGGAACAAGCACGGGCCTCAGAAATTTTTGGATTCAGAAAAGCAACACTTTTCTTACACTTCTTCCCACTCATCTTCTACACTTCAGTTTGCTGAATTTTTTCCCGGGAAACTGCTGAACGATTGTAAAATTAATTAATTAGAAATGCATGCCATTTTTAAATAGATATTACCTGAGTGATTATCAAGGATTGTGGGTTGTTGGGTTTTTTTTAATAGCTCTTGTGTGATGTATTACATCACTAGAGAGAACAAGAGGACTGACTTTCACTAATATCTGATCACATCAACAAGAGTAAAAGAGGTTTCAGAAGTTCATGCCTCAGGACATTGCACTGAGTGATAAAACAATCTATTATTAAAGAGAGAGATTGCTCTTTTGCTGTTATTCATGTTAGTTGTTACCAGATAGCAGCTGCCATTGCAGAAAACTCTGGCAAGCTGAAGGAACATCATGATTAATTGGAGAACTGGTATTCACAGAAAATGGCTGGCTGCCAATGGACTGCAAAAGTAAATAGCATCAATTAAGTCAGCATAGCTAATTTTGTACTGAGCTGGTAATTACACTATGCACAATGACCTCTTTATTAAAATAATAGAATACTGTAGAAAGTATAAGTGTACAACTGTTGAGTATTATTCAAGCTATTCCTTGATGATTTAATAGGAAAAAAGATAATTGCTGACTTTTACCCACTTTGATCACTTTGACGGATAAAGATTTCTACTTGAGTTCTCTGTTTTTTCTGTTTCTGTTTCATGGATCTGTTTATGTGTAAATAAAAAAGACAAGCACTTGGTAGAGCGTTTTATAAACATTGATGGGCAAATATTTGGTACAAGTTTGGATCTTAGCGCTGGGCTGCTTGTTTGTTTCATTTTTCAAAGTCACAGTGTGTTTCTCATGTCTGAAGTAGCGGATCACATGGTGGTGATTCAATGGTCGTGTGTTGTTGGTCATGCCTCACTAAGAGGACGCCACCGAGCTTGGCCTCTCAAGTCAATGTCAAAGTTCATGTCCCTGTGTTCAGTGGGACAGGACAAAGAGTGTCCAGGACAAATTGTTCCAGGCTATGAGGACCTGTTGGTGCAAGCAAACCGTCAGGAAAGAGTCTTTACCAACCTTTTCTATTTCAGTAGATACCACAGGACTGAGTGATTCAAAGGCCCCTGCACGGTGGGTCACGCTTACTCCCATTCGGCAGGGAATGGTAGGGTAAATGGGTACCTGTGGCCTTAACTGCTGAGCTCAAATATAATGTGGTGTTGGCTGTTCCCTCAGGAATAGGAAAATGACCCCAATGACAATACACTGTTTTCTCCAGGTGAGAAGGGAGTGGGCTATGTGTGTTTATGTAGTGTCAGGTCATAACCATGCAGACATGCACATTTAGTGTTTTAACTGTCTCACGGAGAAAGTAAACAAATTATCTGAATCCTGGCCAGACTTCAAAAGTTCAGAGGTTTACTTCAGAAAAAGCTGCACTCAGTGATCCAAAGTTTATAAAAGCTCTCCAGATTTTCTGAGACTGTAAAACTGGGCTGGAGCAGCATTTTTCCTGTAGTTTTCAGCACTTCTGTTTCCCATCCTAGCTGGACAGTGGAACTGAAAAAACACTTCTTCAGAAATTCCAAGAGCTTAAGAACATTTGGTCCCAGTCTGGTTCTAAAAATGAGTAAAGATCTGGGAGGCTGTCTGGTGGGGTCATATCTAATTTACCTAGTCCATCCCATTTTTTCTGCAGCTCCCTTCAGATTGAGCAGGCTCCCTTCAGATGGAGTCTGGTGCAACACTCGGCACTAACAAACTAAGTAACCAGCTCCGTCGTCTTTTCCTACCCATTTAGAGGTTCCTCTTAATATTAAAGCTCTTGATTCAGAAGCAGATTCTGTTTAGTCTTTGATAGTTAGCACAGTACTCTGGTGAAGAAAGAGCCCAACAGTGTGACAGCTGCAATATTGCAACATCAACAGGGAGTCTTAAATTTCAGAATAGTAGAAAGCATACTCGTAATGCCTTGGTGTTTCAGATAGGAAAATGCTGTTTATAATATCCCATATCCAAGGCATGGGCTAGACAAGATATGGGAAGAAAATAAATTTCAGCTTCTGCTGTTAACTCTTTCAACAATATTGCTATAAGATTATGCTGTAAGGACTAGTTATTCATACTTTTTCCTCCTGCCTGGAAAATGCTTGCTTTTTTCCCTTATGGGAGTTAGAAAAGTCCTGGACCGGTCAGTCACTAGCATGCTTCATGCATGCCAGCCATGACCACTGTAGGGGCAGCAGCCTAGGCCCTGTTGCTTCAGCTGAAAGAGAACTTATCAGGTTTGAAAATGTCATCTCTGTTTCATGAGATTAAATAAATAAATAAATAGCCATTCTTACTTAAATCTAGGCCCTTTTTAATTTTTTCAGTTTACTGGAAAAATTAGACTTTTCTTGAAGTCCTGGGGAGTGAGGATCAGTATTAGTATTCTAGTGTCAGTAAAAGAGAAGTAGCTAACATATCCTCATAAGAAATTTCAGATATGCAGGTGTAGGCAGGCTTTTGCAGAGCCCCTTAAAGCCACAGATTCCAGTTCTGCATTTCAAACTTAAAAACAATTGAATTGCAGAGGTATTTACATTAAGAGGAGAGAGAGAATTGTTAAGCCAATTACAAAGAGAGGAGAAATTTTAACATTCAGTTCTGGATCTGGGCTCAGATATTAAGCAGTTCAGAAGATTTTGGATCTGAGACTCTGGTGTGAGTTCTTGCCTGTTACTGCATACAGTAAGAAACTTCCTGCAACTATGTTCATGCCTTCACTGAGGAACAGACACGACATGGGGCTTCCTGGATCCTTCTGGAGGAACAGGCTGCAGCTGCATGCAGCCTCCGACTCCTCCAGGGACACCACATTGTCTATTCCATATGAAGGAGCTCTGAGAGATATTTATTCTCACCAAGACAAAAATCTTCCTGTGCTTTCCCAAGGGATTGAGTGCTGCCAAAATATTACAGACCTTGGAAAAATCTCTTAAAACTTTATCTGCAACTTTGAGCCACTTGGCACCTTTCTCTTCATCCCAGGAGGAATTTTCTAATAAGTTTTCTTAACTGTATTTGGAGTTCAAGATAGTCAGGTTTATACCACTGTAATGGTACCTCTGTAGAGTCTACCAGAATTTTCCTTTATACATCTTTAAGTAACTACAGTAGTACCTTATAAGAAATCTTAATTCATATTTGTGTAGTACTTAGAACTCTTTAAGCTGAAGGGAGTGTATGAATGCAGTGTTCATTTAATTGGGTACATTTCCTTGTGATGGACACAAAGTCAGTTTAGGCAATGAACTGTGAATGGCAGTTGCTGCTTACTCATGTCAAAAAAACAGCATTTGGCTTAGTTGAGATACATTTTGTGGAGCGAAACTGGATTTCACATTGTGTTAAATAAATATGATGTTTTAAACTTTATTTTGTATTAATAGTAGCTAGTTAAAAAATCGTAGCTAGTTAATAAAAGTAATGTACAATTTTATACCCTCATCACAAGATATTTTTACCAATTAAATGTTATTTGGACTCTGAAAGTAGGAGACATTGGGATTAATATTGTGTTTGGACTTATAATGGCCTCTTATGAAGATGAATTTGATCCTTAGTGAATATAATTTTGCCTCTCTCATTTTTATTCCATAATGCATTTTACTCCAGTTTCAACCTTCTCATATACTTGTTTAAAAAAGTTAGTGTAATAGTGAGGCTGAGAGATTCAGCAAGACTTCCCACTAAAAATATTATGCATATGCGCTACATGTGCAAGTCTACACTGAATGAACATTATTAAGGTTTCTGAGGCAAGTAATTATGAAAATGAAGTTTGAGACTGCACTTACAATTTCAGGTCACACATTTGTATTTTAATCATATGGTTTGTTTTAGACTCACAAGTCCCTTGCATTTTTCAGCACACAAGATACGTCTGCTCTTTGGATGCACCAGAGCTATGAAGCCAAGAAGACTAGTGCCTTTGGATGTGGATTCTAAGATTACAGCATGATCTGCATCAGGTGAGGCATAGGACTACTGGAAGAGAAAGAATGGTCTCTGCCCATATCTCTCCCAGAATTGCCATTAATTGGTACTAAGCAAGTTACTAACACTAGACTTTATCAGACATGACTGAGAATTTTGTGTTTCCTATTTCTGGATCCCATGTTTAAAGGTGCAGCAGAAGGCAATAGGACCTGTACTTTGGGCATGTAAGTATTGTGAAAACTTAAGTCCCAGGTGTCACAATTAAAAAAATGAAATTTCTACCATTATTTCAGCTGCAAAATAGAAACTGTACTGTGAAGATAATTAATACATATGAAACACTCAGATACTATTGTATTGAATATGACACAAAAAATCTTGAGGAAATTAATAAAGCTGTCTTGAGAATAGCTTTTGAATAAAGTGAAGCACATAAAGGCCATGATCACACACTGAAGAATAATTCAAAACAGCCAACTGAACACTGTTTTTATGTGAGCACTTTTAATTTCAATTCACAAAATGAGACAAAGACTCACTCAAAAAAAAAACAAAACAAAACAAAACAAAACAAAAAAAAACCCAACCCTGAATGTATAATCATCGTATTATATATTCACAGGGGGACTAAACTAAGGTCAAGTATATTGTCATTTTTGACTGAGTGTTTGACTTGGCAACTTTAACACTTTTTATGTCACACATGTACTGGGAGAAAAGTGCTATAAATTTGTGGTCAGGTCTTTTTTTTTTTGTATTATTCTTACTTCTCAATGTCATGAAATAACTCAGCACAGCCAAGCTTCACCTCACCTTTAAAAGAAATACAGTATTTTAGATGTGGTTTTGTACTTAGTGAAGAATGTAAATATGATATAAAAGAACATTAGTTCTTTTCAGGGAAAGTTTGTTGCTAGAAGCTTTCAGAAATAACTATTTTTTCTCATCAAAAGCTGAGTAAAAATGGACTGCATTTGGAAATACAGCTAACCTTCTCCTGTGAAGATACCAGCACTGTTTCTGTAATTTTTAAAACAATGATGGGCAGCCAGTTGGGAGGGAATGGGAGCAGGGAGAGATCAAGGGAAAAACTCCTCTCAGTGATGCAGAGGGTGAGAAGCAGACCACCTCTATGGGAAGTGCTGTTTTCCTCATACCAGCAATATTTCTTGCTTTGTGTTGAAAGATAATGTTTCTTTCTTAATTCTTGACCATTGTCATATGCTGCTGCCAAGGGAGCAAGAAGGAGGAAATAAGGCAAAGGAAAAAAGAGACCTGTCCATGGGATGGGGATAATAACTTTAACAGATCTCTCAGCAGAAACCCACACATGTCCCCGTGCACCGATAGCCCTGAAGCAACCAGGCACAGCCGCAGCCACGCACAATATCCTGCTGGGCCTCCAGCCAGAGTTCAGTCCCCCTCAGAAAGGATAGAGGTCTTCAAATTGCCACTCAGTTATCCAAATTACCTGCTTTTCTTCATAAACCAACAGCATTGTTATCTTCTACCGGATCTTATGCTGAGTTACCAAGTAAGGGGGTATCTGCTGTGGTTAAATAAAAGGAATATTCTTACAGTAGTATTTAGGCTCTACTCAAAATACTGAAAGTGGCAGGGGCTCTAGATTTTAGTTATCATCTTGCAATTTTTTTCTCCTTAGGAAGTTGTTTTCACACAAGAAACTTGCAGGATCACTGTTCACACAGGCCTGTGTGCTGCAGCCCTACAGCTTACCGCACAGCCATTCGTTTTTTTGGTGAGTAGTGGTGATAGCAAGGAGTTACCTTGGCATGGTTTTACCTAACTGAGGTGAGGTGTAGTACTGTTTCAGATATGCCACACACTAGGTGGGCAGGGGGCTCCCCCACTTTCCCAAAGGAAAGCCAAACTTCCAAAACTGGCATCCTTGTTTACTTCAGGTCAAAGAACTGGAGATACCAGGGTCTGCTCCTCTGTTGTGAGTTTAGGATGATACAGTTTATTTTAGGAGAGTTGAAGCAAGGAGGAGGAATATTCATTTTGTTCACTCTTTTTCTGTGGTCTCTAAATAGAAGAAATAAAGTGCCAGAAATGCAGTGTTGGTATCTCTGTTGAACTCCCTGACTGAAGGGGTTCCCTAAAGGTTATTTGACCATCTCTGTTCAACTGTTCTAAATAAGAAAATGTCAAATTCTTCTCTACTAGAAAGCTAAAGTAGGAAAATAAAACCTGCCCATGGTCAGCATCGGCTTGATACAGTAAGAAACTAAGTCTCATAGATAATGGATGCTGATGTCTGTATGAGAAGTCCAAATATCGTACAAAACCAGATTACAGTTGACAACAGGATGATTGTGGTGACAGCAAGCAGGTAAGGGATTCAGAATCTTCGTACCTATTTGCTGTGTTTTCATCACCCTGGTAACACTTGGACTGTGTTTCTGTGTAGCCACTTCGATTACGTACTCCATACATTCATCAGCTCCATTTACTTGTTCTGGCTGCTTCAGGCACCAGGTTTATTTTTGGTGGTTGTTTAAGCTGATGAAGCATATAATGTTGGATCAGCACAGTGTTTCAGATTCATCTCTCAATATTCTCTGATTTTCTTGACTAGGAAAACCTGGGGTAAACACTACACATGCTAGTAGTGAAATGCGGTTCAGATTGCCTCTTCAACAACTCACACAGTGTATTTTGTTATAGAAAAAATAAATACATTGGGCAGACAACAAAATTGCTTGCAGCAATGAGTGGGAGTTTGCAAACTAACTAAAGAGCTTTGATTCCTGTGTCCTCTAGTTGTACTAAATACCAAAAGATAATATCACAGCATAGCATAAATGAAAACACTGACGGCAACTTGTTTGTTTATTACAGTTTTGTTTAAGTTTATGGATACACATGCTTATAGAGTTGCATAAATATGGTTTTGTCTGGGTAGGTTTCTTTTCTATTTTTTTGGAGCCACAAATTATAATGTTTATCGTGCTGATGAAGCAATGGTTGGGGGGACAAATATGACGTTAAAAATAGACTTGGATTTCCCAATCATCTGAAGTGCTGGCTTGAAAGCCCATGCAGCAGTGTTGATTTGTGGGTAGTTAATTTTCTTGGCCATTGTTTTTCTACTGTGTGATGCTGTGAGGTTATTTCTAGGCAAAATGAAATATACAGTTATACATAGTAAGAGAATTGTATAGTAGAAAATGTTCTTGGCACACGCATATTACTCAGAATGAGTACATAACGTGCGCTTGAATGGACTAGCTGCTTTTTGTTTGTTTTTCCATTGGCAAGCCAAGAAATGAAGCACAATCCATTTTGAACTTAATTTTTCCTTTTATTTTTTTTTTTTTAAGATTAAGATACAAAATCTTATTTACCTTTGGACCTCGTTCTAAGATTCTGGACCAAAAGCGTAGTTAAGTGATATTTCCATCACTCTACAGATGTTACTTATTCACTTTTCAAACCAGTTCAAAAAATCTTAAAAGATCCAGATATTTGAGAAAACAAAAAAAAATTATTTCCTTACAGCAGTACTGAGTTCAGGTTTTGATTCTGATATAAATATACAGTTGAAATTCACCAGGGGGCAGAGGCCAGCAGAAAGCCATACACAAACACTGGAGTTTGCAATGTTTGCGTGGGGGAGTAGCTCAGTGCCTCCTTCGTCACCTCAGGTTTGCAATACCTGGAGCTGAGACAGTATGTGGTTAAACAGAGCAGAGAGCATAAACTGGGGTTGGACTTGGGTTGGACTACATGCCTGAGGGCTGGGTTTGAGGCTAATTGGAATAGAAAGCAGATTTTCCTTTTATATCATTGGTCTTTGGACCGGCCTCAGATTATCTGGCCCCAACTCATTTGCTCAACAGGGACAGAAACTGTGGATGCTGTTCCAATGCATTAATTGGAGCTGCTGATTCAGAAGAACTAAAGCTCATTCCCAGGTTATTTTTCTTCAGGAAATCAGATTATTTGAACTTTTAGAGGGTGAAACCAGTTTTATAGGCAGCAAGTAAAAGACGGAATTAAAGCATTCCTGGTACAACAAAACTTAATTTGTAGGGCTTGTTAAATATTCTTGAGCTAAAGACTTGTTGTGGCACAGCATCCTGTACTATGAGATCATTTCCTATCATTCTAGGAATATATTCTCTCATTATTCTGCCTTAAAATGGAAATACTGTGAGATGAATACAAGCAAAGTTTGGTCTATGATTTCTAGGTACAAAAAAGTAACTTCTTGGAAGAGGTGACTTACAAGTTTCTTTATAAAACAGGAGGGAGTAGTTAAAGAATTCAAGTCACAAGCAATTGGCATGTTTAATACCATGTATTTTCCTCCCTTTTTATCCTCACTTATATACATAACAGAATGGACACCCTCTTTTAATTTGGAATTTTGCATTTTTTTTTCCATCTAGATGAAATTTTTAAAAAAATTCAATTTGTGTAACTGCCTTCCTCTTTCCATCAGGCAGAAAGCGTCTTTGGTTACAGATTGGGATGGAGTCAGACTAGGGTCAGAATTCTCTATCTTTTGGATTCATGCTGTAGACTGGAAAAAAATGGTTAATAAGTTGCAGACAACAGATTGGTTTTACTCTTGTGACACAACAGTTTGAGATTTCTGTCTGCCATTGCTCAGGCTGTCAAGTGTTCTAGAAACAGCAGGTAAGCAAACTAGTAAAAAAGGGGATTAAAAGAAAAGAAGCAGCAAGTTGAACAAGGTCAGCAATCCAGACACCTAAAGAAAGAAGTCACTGCATTCACATGTATCCTTTGTAGAAAGCAAGATGTGGAAAATCATCAGTTTTCTAACCAGACTGTGCTAGTAATTTTGTAATTCCAGGGTTCTTTTCCTCCTCCCTCCCGTCCCCAGCAGTGCTTCAAAATTAGCTGCAATTTTCATGGTTCAGTTATTAGACTATGAAATGCATAAGGTTTGGCGGTTAGCAACAATGAACCCTAAAATTAAGCATTTAGTACTGCAATGTCTACATTATTCTGGATAAATATGCCTATATTTTTGTTGGATGAG